GGGAAACTGACCCTCTTGTAAGTTGCTCTGCCGTATCTAATGCGATGACGCGCAATAGGTTTAGTGAAATAAAAGCGAAAATAAAGTACTCGAAACCTACAGATAAGAATGATCAAGATAAAGAATGGAAAGTTCGTCATATTTTACAATTATTCAAACAAAATATCCAACAATTTGGATTCTTCTTCACTGCTCTTTCCGTTGACGAAATGATGGTTCGTTTTTTTGGCCGCACATGCTTGAAACAATTTTTGCCTGTTAAACCTGATCGATATGGGATAAAATTATGGAGTTTGTGTAGTCCAAGTGGATATATTTTTAATTTAGATGTTTATTGTGGTAAAAACGATTTGAGCATTGGAATAAGTTTATCCCCATGTCCACTTGGGTCTAGGGTTGTTTTACAAATGGTCAATCCACTTCTCACTAGCCTTTCAAAAAGAAAGTTATCTGACTACCATATTTACTTTGAAAATTACTTTACAAGTCCAAATTTAGTTGTTCACTTAAAAAAATGTGGTTTACGAGCAACGGGAACTGTTCGTCAAGATAGAGTGAAAGAGAAACATGTATTTGAGAAAAAAGCTCCATGAGGATCATACAAAGTCAGTCAGGATAGAAATAGTGGCATGAATTTCATTAGTGTCATCGATTCAAAACAAGTATCAATTTTATCCACGGCAGCTGGTGTCACGCCACTGAAACCCATGAAAAGATATTCACGAATTGAAAAGAAGAAAACGGAAATAGGATTTCCATTCGCATTTTCTCTGTATAATAAATATATGAGAGGGGTAGATTTACATGATTTTCGGTGCAAGAAAGCTTCTTCTAGTATTAGTTCAAAGAAATGGACGTTTAAAATTTTTTTACGTGACATGGAAACGTCAACAACAAACGCGGTAACAATTTGGAATACTTGCAACAAAGATGAGAAAATTAGTATGATAACCAAAGATATGTGTAAAGAAGTGAGCAGAAAATATTTGTCACAATCGAAATTGAGTAATTTCAAATCTCACGCTCACGAAACAAGAACGAGAGCTTCGTGTAGTTACGAAGGATGTAATCTAAAAACTACCAGATTCTGCATCAATTGCAACAAATATTTTTGTGTATACTGTTTCACACAGTTGCACTCTGATCAGTAGGAGTGCATGATAAGTATTGATTCTCTAAAAAAAATTAAAAAGAAAAAAAAACTAAGACCATTTATTCATGTCGACCTCCACGTTAGATATAGTTTAGCAACATAAAACGTATTGACGGCTAACAGAAGTTGTGCAAAAACTACGTGTCTAATATTTTTTGACATTTTATTCGTGTGCAAAGTTTCATTCAATTCCGAGTATTACACTTAGGTAGGGTCACTTTTTAGACTGAGCCGTAAGGACCTCCGGTTTATAGGCCGTTGACATTCTCTGAACTTTACATATCTTTAGAAATGTGTTTCTGCTCTGCTTGCGGAAGAGATTTCAGCAGAGAAATCGCTGTATTGGAGCGGATACAGAAGCAGAAGAGAAATGAGTCATTACCAAGCCACTGCGGATTTGAGTCCCTTTTGTACGCTCAGGACGTATCCTTAGAGTCGATGGACGCCTTCGGCGACCTCGACGATCTTTGGGCTTGTATTTCTGGTCATTTGTTCGCCGGTAATGTTTCGCTCACAGTTTCCGACCTACCTGTCGATTTTGAATGCGTAGATCGACTAGAACACTGAAAACTCATCGATCGGGTACAAATAAAGTTCTGGCAGCAATGGAGTCGCGAGCACTGGAATATCTTGCAGCAAAGAACGAAGGATTTACTACCGAGATAATGTTCAGGTCGGTAGCTTAGTGTTGGTCTTAGATGCCTCCTTGTTGCACCCAAATGGATGCTTGCCATTGACACGCGTTGTAGCAGTGTATCTTGGTCGTGATGATTTGGTGAGGATAGCTACTGTGAAATCTAAGCACTAGGTATACATTCATTCTATCGTTAAGATGGTTGTCTTACCTCTGATGGGTGAACTCTTTCTAAACTTCTCACAGACACTCGTTCGTCTTCGTATCCATGGCAGGCGATTGCTGAGTTATCATTTTCTGGTTTCTCTCACAGCAAGCGCAACTGCGAGAATCAATCATACGGGAAGCTGTCATTCCAATGAACGGAAAGGATGAAAAAAGAACTCATTTACTCATAGCTTGACCATCAATACAAACGCGCCCGAACTAGTTGAATTGCTTTACCTACTTAATTTTGCTATTCAAATATACATATCTGTATTTTGCCATTGTCTCGCATTGAGGGCATTCCACACAGAGTATCTTTACACATCCCGTTTTAAAATATAATGAATCTTTCATTTTCATCCCCTCTCGTGAATGTCAATCTTCGTATCATCGCGTCAAAATTTTATAATAGCAACGACGATAAACGCTTATAGAAGGACTTTGGGGACTTATGGAGACTCAATCAAACATATGCCTAACATGGCTCGTAGTTCTGTTAGACGGCTACGGTATCAAAGCTATAGGTATAACTGTTCGAAGAGCTTGGCGTACGAAACTATAAACCTCCGTTCAGTTTGATTAACTAACTAATAAAAGCGAATAGAGATGCTTCGTTGCAATATTTTTGTTACCAACAGCAACTTCCTCTGTTTCAACGTGCATAATTAATACAAAATTAAATAAAAATATACCAATCGAAGGATTTTCATTTGTCTAATTCACCTATCTTATCAGATTTGTTTGCCCATCTTTACTCTCTTTATAAAAAATTAATAAAGACCAGTACTTTTCCAACAATTATCTCAACAATAGAACATAAATGGAATTTTGGAATGTAATAAATTGTAAAAAATTTCCCCTGAGCGAATTTAATTTGCCCATTTGACTGACGTTGAAAATAGTCAATAAGTATTTTATGAAACTGAAAATTTATAATTGACAATAGTATTTTGTACACGCACGCAGGAGCGACAGAGAATGGAAATCACTTGCAGCCTTAGCACCGAGCTGAAATCTTGTCTCGTGAAAGTAACATTCGGCTGACTCTCCGAGAACTGCAGACATATTGTTGAATGAGTGAAACAACTCGGTGGTACCGGAATTTCAATAACAAGTAAGAGCAAATAGAGGCCTAGTCATGCTGGGTGACTACAGGAGGGAACCGCAGGATATCAACGCTTTAGATGCAAGTCTTACCGTTGTACGTGGAAATTCCACGGTGATAACGTAGAAGGTCCTGTAAACTACGAACTGAAATTATCGTCGTGTCTCTCTTCGTAACCTCAGAATAGTAGGAAAGTAAGAGTACCGCAGGTGAGAGAAGTTAAGAGATACTATCGTTAAAAGTTCCACGAATCAGGGCCTAGTGTCAGAATCATCGTTAATATTATGGGAGGGGAGGAATGAGATGAGCTTGAATAATTCGATTATGGAGCAGACGGGAGATAGGGACACAACCGTGATATCTGTTATCGAGAATAGGCTTTTCATAAATATCTTGGTGAATGGAGCGAACTATGCGGTCTTGTTAGGTTCAGGGGTGCAAAGTCACTGTATTAGGACCGAGCTTGACGGAAAGATTTAGGTCACAGTTAAATCAAGAGAGTTTCAGGCGATGAGTCGAGTTCGTTCCGATTTTAGAAGTCGAATTTTAGAATGATTGAATGCAAGAATTTAGTATTGAGAGACGAGTGGCGAGGGTGGTGACCTTTTTGATGTAAGAACGTTGACTACAACGCGCCACGAGCCAACCCCTGCTAATTAATTTAACGCGAGTGACTACAGTTAAGATAGCCAGCGGTGACTCTCACAGGGAGCTAAACGCAATAGCTATGATTAAAGCTGCGAGCGGGAAAATATTCACCCATTTGCAGTACAAAATCGTGATCCCAAACTTATGCCGTTTATAAATAGAAATAGTTATTAATAATAATTTTATAAAAGATCGTACGTAAGCGCGTTCGCTCGAACTTGCGTTCAGCGCATCGAAGACATCAGAGTCATTCAATGCTAATCATAATCAATAATACAAAAAACTAACGCGCTGTATCCGAGCGAGAGCTGATACGAAGAAGAGATTTAAATCTGAGAGAGACCCACCGGAATGTCGCAGCTCGTAGGAGGAGAGGCGACAACAACGGAATCGTAGCCCAGCTGGTAAAGGCTTTCTAGGGATGATAATCGCCGGCGTGGAGACGGTTGTCGCTCACTTAGATGTACAAGACCGAGAAACTGTAGTAGCTGTTGTTGACCGCACACGACCTGAATATAAGTCATTAAGTTCGAATCTCTGCGGCGATTATGTGCCAATGCTCGATGTGCTAGGTTTGAAAGTCCTTCTCTTTACTCTCTTTGCAGCTCAAGTGATTAGGCAGCCTTCTTTCTCTTAGCTCTCGCCTAACTGTCCATTTTTTTTCTTTTTCGCTACGAATTCTACTTGTTGCCGCAGGCGCCACTCTCTACTCACTTCTCGGCCAAAATTCTCCGTCGATGCTCTCTCTCTCGCTCTTCTCACTTTCGCTCTCTTCCTTCGCGGCATCGCCCTGCTGGCCGCAATTTTCTATCTCTAAGCCCTGCAACAACACAAGTATATAAACTCTGCTTATAGAGTTATACTCGGTCGCTGCGTTTACACGAGAAGAGTGCCGCGTACAGGGCCAACAAACTTGATGTAACCTTGTCACAGGGTTCGAATAAATATATCCCATTCACGAGCAAGGAAGATGGGTCGGTATACGTGTTTGTAGATTGCGCATGCTTGTTGGGTTATGTAGGTAACCAAAGCAAAAAGTATTAATGTTAGTAAGTAGCATAGTTCCCGAACCTGTTAAAGCCCCGGTAGTTACGAAGCTAATCAAACGCATGATAGATATTAGAGAGGCGAGTCTCATAAAAACATCTTTGCGGCTTTGTCTTCAAATAATTACAAATCCATCCAAATATCACAAATATAAAAGTATTTTAGTTATAGATGTATCTTTCTGTAAAATAAAAATAAAATCTTACCTCAATTTCAAAATTTCCTTTCGTGAATTCTAGAGAATTGAAAAGAGCACTTGTGGCTGCTAAACGCACATGACTTGATGTATTTGATCCTTTCATTCCGTGAATAATTGCAGTTAAAATTTGATTAGATTGAGATACTAAAACTTCACTATCAATTTCTTGACATATATATCCAATAGTTTCGAGAGTAGCTTCTTTCATCATCTCAGTACTATTAGGATTTGCCACATTATTGACGAGTAAAGGGATGAGTTCATTCCACTGACCAACTGGTAACTCAGCAACAGCTACGTATGCAACGCACTGTGCAGCTGAGCTTGGTCTGTTATTTTCAGTACCCAGAGCTCCTAGTATCTAAAAAAATATGTTGTTTTCACTGATGAGAATTGTTACTTCACCATTTGAAATCAATATTAATGAAATACGTAATTTATTTTATATACAGTGACTCATTTTATCGAAGAATAAAGGTATCTTCTAAATTACGCAACTTACAAAAAAATGTTTAGGTGAAAATTTGTATGGTACATTAAGATTCATCTCCTGTTCTAATGACTTTGACCTTGAGATCAGTTTTCAAGGTTATTTCAAGGTTAAGTTCATTTTTCTAAATAGAACTTCCTATTTTTGATTCCCGATTCAGAAGAAGCGGGAAATTTTACGGCCAGATACGTGTCTAAGTCCAAGATTAACGTGACCTCCGCAGACTAAATGAATCCCTAAAAACTTCTCCTGCTAAATCACAAGCAGGCCAACCCATCTAACATTGGAAACAGCGATTTTTATCGTTTATTTTTTTATTAAATGATTAAATTTCATACTACAAACTAGCTAACTGACCTTACCATTTATCCTTAAGCCCTAAAAACCATGTTTACAAACGACCAAAGGACGCGCCTGCTGCTTGGAGTATTCTTTTCCTATATCCCTCAAATAAGCTATGGATCATTCACTCTGTACCTCTTTATCTGTACGAAGATCTGCTATCATAGGATTTCTGTTCACAAACAATAATTTCCATTATGAGGAAAATGGCTCCGACAGCATCATATTAAATGTCTCGCATCAATTTCTACAGTTTGCATTTATGAAGTAAACCTTCTTAAAAAAATTGATGACCTGTTTGGTAAAGGCAGTTTGTTCGTGATTTGATTGGTTGAAAGATATCACGTGATAATGGCATGTATGTACCATATGTGTAGTCGTTAGTATAAAAAGTGTTTGTCGCTAGTGTCAAAAGTGTGTGGTCTTTAACGTGATAAACATAAATAATAGATTTGGTAATTTTTAATATATGTAAATTTACCGTAAAGTAAATGTAAAATTTGTAACGGGGAATCTCGGCTAGGCCGATTTCGTCCGTTTGGCTCTCGCAAATATCCGTGCGCCGCGTCAAGTTGAGAGTGTGTGCGTATGGCACGCACATTCATGCTTGGATTTTTGTTTTGAGGTGCTGTGTACGGGCTGAGCTGACGGCTGAAGTGATCGAAATGGCGCAGAAGGAGAGAGAGAGAGAGAGAGGGGGGGAGAAGGAGAATGCTGGAGTTGCGTATCATCGCGGAAAATTAGAGAGAGTATCTGTTAGGCTTTGGGCAGAGAAAGTCGCGCGCGCGGATTAAACCGAATCAAACGGTTTTCCGAAGTTGGCCCCACGACCACGTCAACGTTTTCGTTGTTCGGAGACACACCCGGTGCGCGGACAGGAATTAGAGTGTGTGTGGCTAGGTCGCGCCAAGCCGTATCCCGAAGGATCCCCGGCACCGGTGCGTGGGTACGCGCGTGAGCAGACTTTATCGCTGCTGTAAGTATTGAGCAACCGAAGAACAACGGAAACAACAACAATAGAAATCAACGAGCGGAACAACAGATTAAGGCAGTAAGATTGATAGAGTGAACAAGAGGACGAGCAAGAGGATAAACAGCGACGACAGTAAACACCAGCAAGACGGTCGGCGAGAAGGAGCGCACCAGTGATATCACACTGCAAAGCCCTCTAGCCGTCAGAGAGACTGAAGGTCGAGGTCGGTGCCGTGTTTTCTCTTGTTTCTCTCTCTTGCATATTTGGGCGCCAGCTGATGGGTGGTAGCGCGGCAGATCTGTTGGCTACCCTGTTGATGAAATAACGGCGGAGTGTTTGTCGGGTATTGATTGTAATTAGTCCTAAACAGGGAATCGGCAGGATGACCAGCCACCGATTCACCTTCGCGTTCGGGTTTATTATTGTGCCACTCGTAGTGTATAGGCGTAAGATTAACTTCTTGTAGTCGATTGTTGACGATTAAAGGATTAGTGTGTTAATCCGTTGTTGTGTTTATTCGCCGCTGTATCACTCCAAATCCCGACTTCGAATCTGTGCGTCTAACGTGGTTGTGCTCGACGCGTTATTCAGTCGTAGGAACGTCTTTTGCTACCCCAATCCCCAAATAAAAAGTTTGTGCGGACGGCCGTGAGATAACCAGACGGGAACGGTTGCAAATTCTCCGTTACAAATTTTAATAGAATTTTTTAAAATAAATATTCAGTTTTGCAACGGTAGTCGATTTAATTAATCGATTCGTTGGCGATTCTGTTTCTCGCGCGTTAGTTCGAACAATTAAGAGAGAGAGGGGGCGCGCGATCTTTTAAAATAAGCAGCTACGTCTCAGCTGTACAGGCGAGTTTACCACCGATTTGTGGTTTGCACTTTGTTTCGCCAATATTAAGTTTTCTACGTGCGTGTGTACAACGGCATTTCCGTGACAGTTAATAGCAGCAGTACAGAAGCAGCATCAAAGTTATATTGAGGCAGATCGAGGCAGCGCAACTGATTAATCGAAGGACAGCGGCAGTTGATATTTTGCATCAACAATTACGGCTGATCACCGTAATTGCACCGCATGGTAGTTGCACCTTCCGTCATTATATGCGATACAAAATACATTCGGTATTTTGTCTAATCGTGTTAGAGTTTTTTTTTTCGCGTCGAGCGTTAATTCGCGGTAGAATTCGAATTTTCTCTCTCTCTCTCTTTCTCACCGAACATAGTTAATTGTAAAATCCTATTCGCGTGCGTTAGTCTTTCGGCCCTACAAAGACTGTAGTGATATTTATTAATTAAAGTCTGTTAAATTTATTCGCAGTTTTCGTCATTTAATTTTCCTAGTATCTTAAGTAATTGAAAAAGGCATAGGTTTTAATCTTATTACATCTAGGGGATTAAGAAGGTTAGGAGTAAAGTCGCTCATACTTAAAACTCATCGAGTGTCACAAGACACGTGACTTAAGGTGAGTTCAACTCCGTTTGATAGAAGACAACTAAGATAAATCATCTGACGTTAAGGCGAATACACGTACTATTATACGTGTTTAACGGAGCGGCGGCGCTCTGCATCGTGGGAGTTTGTTCTTAAATAAATTTCCCATTTTTCAGATAACCTCCCCCGTTACAGTTTAAAATATTCAAACAACTAAAAAGTAGAAAGTAAATTTATTATTTAATTTTCAATGTCAAAATAATTAATTAGAAAAAACGTTAAACGAAATAAGATTAAATTTTTTTTAAACTTTTTTAAACATTTCTGATTTATATCTCCTTAATTTCATATTCATACATGAAAATAATTTTAATAAGTAATCTTTTAAAAATTTTTTTCTTCTTAATATACAGAAATGGTAACCAGTTGAGTGATGAAAGTTCTGTTTCGCGATCTAATTAGCTAACAGATAGTCGCATAATCAATTTCGTATATGTACATGTGTAGTCGTTGGTGTTAACCGTGTGTGATCTTAATTGTCACATGTAAGATTAACTGGCTATTAGTGGGCAAAAATTGGTTTATTGTAATCAATCGACATTGAAGAAAAATTAAATACCTGAGTTTACAATTATAAAAAAAAATTGGTAAGTTAATCAGAAGCATTTAGTGATAATTATTTTCAATTTTTATCTTTGATATAAGGTTTTAATCAGCAAGATAAGTAATCTAGATTATGTGACCACATGTTTTATTTTATTAACTTTATAACGGTTCTATCTATGAGCTCTTCTCTTATTTTCACTGGATTACTGCAACCCGCTAAACTCGTTAGTCTGTTTACATCAATTAGCAAATTAAACAGCGCAACCTTATGTATTGTATCTTTGTCTTAGTACCAGAATCAAATTTCATGATCATATAAGGAGCGTGACGTCACCTACTTATAGATATAAATATAATATTTTTTGTTATTTAATTTAAAAACTTTAATTAAGAGTAATTTCGATGAAACAAAGCACTTTTTATATAGATTTTAGGGCATCGATTTAGATTATAATAATTTTAATTGCTTTTAACTACTAAATCATATTAAATTTCAATTTGCAAAGTTAATTTGTTTATGACATTGTAAATATCATTTAATACAATAATTAATAAATAATAAATAATTATTAATTATTATAATAAAACGAATACTCTAAATCCGAGATGATTATCTAAGAAACATGAATAAGAATTCGTTTAATTGATAACAGCTTAATTATTACTGTTATTAATAAATAAACAATTAATAATTTATTTAAACATATAATTGTATACAGATCGAAAACGTTAATTTTGTACATAACAATGATAATTTTATAATTTATTAATCTTAATTAACTAATTTAGTATTTGCATTATAAGATTTTACAAAAAACCGTTACAAATACGAAAATTGATTATAATTCAAATGTTATCAACTAAATTATGTAATTCTTTTTAGGAATCACTTCTACTAGTGATAAACTATTGGTCTATGTAAAATTTTATCATTATTTTATTGTAAATATTGCGCTATCACATTAACTAACTTTATTATTTAATAACTTTTGACTATACTTTTTGCGATTATTGTAAATTATACTTAAAAGATCTATATCTACTTATGTAAAGCTTACATGTTTTAGAATTTCGTTATTACTGTTTATTCTCTTGTAAATTAAAAAGAAGGATTTCGAACAATTGCGTAAAACAACTCGAAGAGGGCTATCCTACGAAAAGAGGAGGGAAAATCTGTGTATAAATACGCTGATTTTTTCACAGACTAGCCTTGTAAAGTGAGTGCTCGAGATTGAATGAACTTGGCTTATACCTAAATTCTTTCTCTCAAGTAAAACTGAGCAAATCCTTTCTTTCCAATTGTAATTTACGCTCGTTTCATACAACACTTCGTGCTATGACAAACTTGGGCTGAATTGCATCTTTTTATAAGAAAGACTTAAGCTTTGCTTATGGGACACTTCGCACCATAAGAAACTAGGGTAAAGTCTATCTTTACTTAAAATCAAAGTCATATAATCATAGATATTCATGTATAATTTTATTTCAAAGTTAATATTCATAAGCATTTTTAAA